AGTGTTAATTTCTTTGGAAACTGACATCGGTAAAAAATATCTGCTGTTTCAAAAACTGATTTTACAAAAAAGTTTGAAAATCTATTATGCAAAAGTAAAAAATAGCTTGTTTTATGGAACAAACTTTGCTCTACAAAAGTAAGCTGTCAAAAAAAGGTTTCATATTTTGAATTTTTTGAAACAATCTAATGATAGTTGTTAATCTTATCTCAGAAGGAAATTCTGATCACATATTTTCAAGCAGTGAAAAAATTTGAATCTAACTAACTGCTTCTGACTCGAAACAGTTGTCTTTCGTGTGACTGAAGAATGAGTGAATACTTTACCCTAAAGCTTTCATACAATAGATTATATTTAAATTCTTGATTTGTTCCTTTACTTGAATGCTTTAAACATAGGTACATCACAAAAACAAACTCAACATTTTTTTCTAATACAATACAATGAAATGATGATTAACTGAATGTAAGGTTTATAACTTTAATTATTACTAAGACAAATAAGAAACTAATGTGCAGGGAAACAGAATCTACCAGATTTTCTTTGGAGCAAGCAGAAAATGATTACAAACTTTCTTGACCGATAAAAGTATGAGATTAATCATTACTTTTTTTTATTGATACAATAACAAGACTCAAAGACAAACAAACTTTCTTTAGTTTTCTTGAATTTTTTCAGCAGACTGCTTTTTTCTGAAAGTGCCGCTTCAACCTACGGACAGATTGAGCATCCCTATTTTTATTTGTTTTTTTCTACCATTGTTGACTCTTTTAAAATGGAGAGTGAAAAACAATGAACAGAAATTAAGTAAGCTCTGCTACTTCAGTTGAAAATATATTTGAGATTCATCATTCAGTATAATAAAAACATATCGAACGAAATCTCAATGATCGATGTTTCTATTTTTGTATGGACTAAATGTATTTTCTTCATCTAAATTTGAACTAATCGTCTGTCTTACAAAAAATGAAATAATCAGTCAAACTTACATGAAGCTGGTGTTTTATTAATTTGTAACATCGTTCGATCTTTACAAACTACACGTAAAAAATTAATTGATTTTCCTGTAATCCAAATTTTTTTAGCTTGTTCCATTGATATAAATGTTGGAATCATTGGTACACGTAATGTATATTTATCATACCATAATTTTTCTTCACCTATCATTTTATCTGTTGAAACAAAAAATTCTTGATATGGATCATTAATTATACCATTACATATCCATTCAACAATCATATCACGTATTGGTATTGTACAATTATAAAGCAATGGATAAAGTATTGATTGTTGTAATGGATCACCATGCTGGCTATGCATATAAAGTATTGATAAAAGTTGTCCACCTTTTTTACCTAAATAAGTTTTATTACAAAATTTTTAATAATGATGATAATGATAATTTTATTTTTCTTTTTTTTTTTAAACAAACCGTGACATGAATCAGCAATAGCTGCAAGACATTTTAAACGTTGTATTGGTGTACACATCCAAACATGAAGTTTTTTTAATGAAACCATTCCAGGTATATTTTCCTGATGTTGACAAAAAGAAAAAGTTCAAATAACGGATGATATAAAAGTTCTGCATTATTTTGGTTTTCAGTATAGTATGATAATACCTCATTATAAAGATTTAATAGTTTTCTTGTTAGAAAAAGCAAAGTTTTGTTTAAAATACTTACCGCAGGCTGAAAGATACCTTGTAACTTCAGGCAAAATCAGTGATGAGAAAAGTACATTGTCTAATAGAAAAACTGTAAACCTAACTCGGAATAGAAGAACCTAGATCTTCTATTGAAGGGAGAGGCTTCTTCTGTTTTATATATTGTGATGGCGTAGAGAGCTCACTAAACTCGAATTAGATATAAAAGATGGGATTTTACTAACTTTGATAGTTAGAAAAAAAATCTTATTTTTCGAAATCATTTATTAAGCTAACAAAGATCATTAGAAAAATGTTGATTTCGAATTCAACTGGCAATTTGAAAATTTTATTTATTTTTACCTATCTACAATGTCGAATTGCAGCGCTACAAAACTCTTAAAAGACAGAAAAGAAGCCAAAGTTTCTTAATGGATGATGACTTTCTTCTAAAATCCAGAAGCGTGAAAAGAAACTTTTGGCCTTTGGTAAGTATTTTGAACAAAGCTTTGTAGCTGAGAATTTGCTCTTCCTAGCACGAAAACTATCAAGTGTCTACGACGAGTTATTGTCATACTATAATGAAAACAACAGTAATGCTGAGCTTCGGCACCATTCTTTAATTACTAATATGAAAAAATTCTATTTTACCTGTTGTTCAATAACAGATATGAGTCGATGATATTCACGTAATTCACTTGATAAATTAGCAATAAATGCTTGTGCAACAAGACTTGTTGTTGGTGTATTAATTATTTTTCGAATTTTTTCATATAACCATCCACATTCAAGAAAACGACTTATTAATGTTCGTGTACAACGATCAATATTTGTATCATTTGCAGATAAACGTGGTGTTTCAATACCTTGCATACCAAATAAAAGTTCACGTAATATACGTGACTCATCATTATCTCGTTTTAAAGATGAAATATTTTCTATTTCATTATTATTATTTATTGTTGAATGAAGATGAGTTTTTGATAATAAGGAATTCTCATCATCATTTGTATAATGAAGAAGTTTTTGTAATGATGTTGAAGATTTTATATGAGATGAATTATGTGAAAGACCATTTTCTTTTGTATTAGAAGTTCCTTGTTGAACAGATAAAAGAGAAAATGATGGAATGTCAAAACTACTAGCTGATGATGTTGGTAGTGGACGATTTATTGAATCATGATGATATTCAGTCGATGCTGTATCAGCCAATGCATAAAGAAATTGAAGTGTTTCAAGGCGTACTTTGAGAACTTTCTAAACAAAATTAATTTAATTGAAAAATTCAGCAGATTAATCAATATTTAGACGAAGATATCTTTTCTTAATATAGGGTTCATTCAATGATTAAAGTTTAGGATTATATGATGATCTTTTTCGAGAACTATTTCAAGTAATTAGTTCTCTTCATATAAACTATGTCTACTGATAATGATAATGCAGCAAGTCTATTCATTAATTCTTTTATTTATCGAAAAGAGAACTGTAACACGTTGAGAATTGATCTGTTTGAATAGTTCTATTCTGCTGAAGAGAATGCAATGGTTGATGCTAGTTCATTTTCTTGATCGTGAACTGTCATAGGTATCAGAACAATATAATCTTTATAGATGTTTAATATTTTTTAAACGATCACAAAGTAAAACATTCTTTCTTTTTGTTTTAATAAAATACACCTACAATGCATCGACTTGATTAATAGTCAACACGTATCTTTTATTATTATCTTTTATCGTATAAATCTCAAATGATACGGAATAGGAATGTTGAATCAACGATTCTTTCAGTTAATATATGTGTGAATCTCTTGATAATATAGTTTCTCTTGAGAACGCAACTTGAGATAAGAGATTTATAGACGAATCCTATGTAGTGTTAAAATAATAATAAAAATTATAAGTTTTCTATTTCATTGTGAATATATATGTTATGAACGAAATTCGAATCGACCTAAACGTCAACCGATTCAATTGAAGATAGCTAGAATTTGAATAAATCAAGAGTTTTTTTCATTCCGTAAACTATTTTTTAATTTCACAAAGCGCCTTTTATATCAATCAATTCATAGTTCATATTATTTTAACCTTTGACCCAGATTTTTTTATACTTTTATGTTGATTTATGATACATTTCGTTTCATTGTTGCTTATGTATCCGTGTGTCGAACCACAAATATAAAGTTTAGATACTTCAATAATCATAATGTCTCTTAAAGAATCTATCATAATTTACCTTAATTCTTCTGAAAACTAAACTTGTGTTAAGGAATTCAGAAAAGAGTCTTTGCGTGGACATCAATTCAAAATCTTTTTCGTAAAAAGCCTTTATTTGGTATGGTACGAAACCAAAAAAGGTTTCGGTAATTATGTCTATATGAAGAATTTTTTTAGGTTTCGTAATAGATACTTTTCTAATATATAAAAAATTTTTCAAATACTGGAATCAAGTTTATGAGTTCTTTTGATTATAGATTAATGTTCAAAAATCATGATATCTCGAACAAAAGAATTGGTTATATCATTCGAATAAAAAACTATGTAGAGAACTTACAAGTTTATTAAGCCGAGCATAAATTTGACCAAAACGAAGCATTTCTTGATTTCGTCCATATTTTTGAACTACAAAAATTTCAAACGAATAAATAACAAAAAACAAACAAACATTCTTAAACTATTTCATACAATGTTTCCAAATTTTATCAAGTAATCGTATATCGTCTTGATAAGTATTCCCATGTTCACTATAAATTATTCAAAATTACAAGAGAAAAAAAAACTGTACAAAACTTTGAACTTACGAATGAAGTAAATGCGAAACTGTATTAACAGTTTTATCCAAAATTTCTATAGAATTAAAAATAAAACAAAATTAATTATTTTAAATTTATATTTAAACTTCTCAGCATACCAGGTTTATTATCACAATAGCAAAGGCACAAATTTTTTACTAAAGCTAATTGCGAACCAGCCATGACTGCTGGCAAAATAACTAGAATGTGTATATTTGACAAACACTTAATGAGTCATCAAATGAAATATGATTAATCACTTTGACTTATTTTGAATTTATAATTATTTCTTTATTTTATATTTCTATTAATATATTTTCTTTATTGATATTCTTGGCATTAAGCCATCTATATATTTTAAAGTTTTTATTGGTTAAAATTTTGTATGATTCATTGTTGATTGTTTGAGGATAGTGACGAACAACCAACTGTTATTGTATATCGATGTTAAGCATCTTTCTCTTTTTCTGTTTTATTCTTCTTCAATAATTATTATTTTTATTAAAAAAATTCATAGAAAACTTGGTATAGATTTCTGATTTATTTTATTTAGAAAATAAATTTTAATATGACTTCAAATCCACAACATTTTTTAACAATACTAGCTAAAAAACCTTTTGATGTTAATCTTTCAACACCAATAAAAAATTTCATTAAAGCAACATTTGGTGATAAAGAAGATTATTCAGCTTCAGTTGATGGTTTTAATTCACTTCGTGCTGAAGCGTTATTACGCAGTAATTATAAAGATGATTGTTCAAAATTACTTAGGTTTGGAGAAAACTTATTATTTATTTAAACAACAACAACAACAACAAAAAATTTATTTATTTATCTATTTATTTAGATATTATGATCAATTAAATGCAATTGAATATAAATTACCAATAACAGAAAATCAAATACGTATTTATTTTAAATGGCAAGATGCATTTGTTAGTAGTGGAAGTTTATTTGGTAGTAAACAAAAAACAAATGGCTCATGGAAACTAGCATATGAAAAAGCATGTGTTCTTTTTAATATCGGACATGCATATAGTGAATTAGCATTAGCACAAAATTTGTCTATTGATGAACAAATGAAAGTAGCATCAAGATATTTTCAATTAGCATCTGGTGTTTATTCATATTTAAAAGATTATGTTAATGCTAATTCATTATCAGATTTATCGGTTGATTTTGAACCAGCTGTATTAGCAAGTATGTCATGGTTAATGTTAGCTCAAGCAGCAGAACTTATTTATATAAAATCGGCTAGTTTTAAAGGTAAAACAAAAGGAATGATTCAAAGAAACAAACAAGAAAATTGTTTGAAATGAATAATAATTTTATTCATTTAGATGAAGTTGCAGCTAAAGTTGCAGCACATGCTGCTGATTGTTATAAGGAAGCATATACATCAGCCAAAACTGAAAGTGCAAAAAAAATCATTCCAGAGGTTTGTAAATTCGATTTGATTTTTCAAGTGCATTTTTATTTTAGTATAGTTGTGGGAAATCTCTTATTTTGATAATTTCTGATTCCCAAAGAGGATATAACTGATCCACATGGAGCTTTTGTCACAGAGAAAACGTCTACAATTAGAAGCCATGTGTTCGAGAAGAACGATTTCAAAAAAGTTTGCGCAGTTTTTTTTCTTAAAAACTGTAGTTTTCCGTAGGATCATATTGGGTCCGCTTAAGAGTTCCGTATAACTTTGTTCGATCGGGCTGAAAAATTGTTTGGAGATATCCTAGACCATATTTCAGTAGTGGCTTTAGGCTTTTTCAAAAATCTGGTTTCTTTGGTTTTTATGAGAGAAATACGTAAAGATTTGGATTGAAAACCGAAGTGTTGGTGTTCAGAGTTCTATAAATCTGGATAGGAAGGTCAAAAACGAAAACGGCCCATTTCGCCGTTGGAGAATATTTCTAAGTATCTGTCGTCAAAATTTCAAGCCGATCGGACAAAGTTTGAAGTAGATCGTAAACGCCCCGAGGTGAGCTAATGGGAAACTGCAAAAACCTTGTGTAAGGGTTTTTCCTCGCAAAACGTGCCTCCCTGGTTTAGGTACTCTATCAGTAGTAAAAATTTCATGCGAACTCATTATATTATCTTCGAGAACCAATAATGGTGAAAAAAAGAGGAGGTACTTTTCATAGAAATAATGTTGATTAAAAGAGTTCCTAAGTACTTTTATGGTCAGTTAGAACAGATTATTCTATAGTGGTATCACTTTAAATAAATCTAAGTCGTATTCAAAGAACTAGACGTCAATCGGTTTTGAATCATTCATTTCTTCATGATTCTTTAAAACAAAATTTGGCTGCTATATATTATGTAATAATAAAAACATGACGCTAGTTGTTTAAGAATACAATAAGCAATAGTCTTAAGTTGGAATCTACTAAATAAATTTTTGCAAGATTTCACATTTTTCTACAGATGTGAAATTAACTTTGTTATGACTAGCCATGAACCACTCATACATGAGAAGAATTCGAATTCAGCAAAAGCTTGTATCATTTTTTAGCTGATCAGATACGGTTCAGTGTTTTGCATTGTTTCTGTTCATAAATACATTTAGAATTAGCATCGAATTTCGTTCCAGTTTGTTTGTGTGTCTCTTCATTTTGTAGTAAAACGATAAAGTTTGAAATTTTGTAATGATCGATATTTTCTGAATATCTCAGCTGAAGCTAACATGAAATCAATGAAATGTTCACTGATAGTAGATCTAAATCATCTTTATCTATAATAAAAGTTTCTAAGAATATGACTTTTCCATTGAGGAAGAATAAGTGTTACAATGTAGAAGAAATAAAATTTCCTAACGTTCGGTCACGCCGACTTCTTTGCAGTTTTTCCTTATATAGGTCATAGAAAGGTTACACTGATTGTTGAAGTTATTGCAGATCAATTAAACAACAAGTAGTAAATTATTCATTGATAATATGATAAACGAAACATATAGTAATAGTGAATTTTTCGCTTTAACAACGTCTACATTTATTTCTATCGAAATAAATAAGCATTATAGAAACTACTCAAAAAAATGAGATTTATATTATATTAGTATTTTAGACTTTTGTCTTTGATAGAAATTGATTCTTACAGTACTTGTTTTATTTTCCCCGATGTCAAATACTTCACATTCGAATATAAAATCAATAAAACCAAGAGGCGTAACTCAGCACTGAACTACTGAGGAAACACAAAGTGTTGAGTCGCAGAGAAAAACAGCGTTGCGTAGATAATTTTCAAAATCAGTAGTAATGGCATTTTGTAGACGAATTTTAGAAGCTGTCTGAACATCACATACTCCGGCTAAACTGCTACCCTGATTATGCAAACATAATAACCAATTTGATTTTTCTATACATACTAACAAAAAAAAAAAAGAACATCAACTAATATTTGTTTCGTCTATTTAAGAATTATGTTAATGTTATGTTTGTTAAACATTTATTATTTCAATCAAAAACTGAATATCATGCTGGCAATCAAGCTCAAGCTGATAGAAAATACGGGCTAAAAGTAGCACGATATGAAGTAAGTGAAATTAATATATGAGTAATTTTATTCGTCAACGACATGATTTTTATTTAAGATACTTAGAAAAAAATCAGTCGTATGGAGCTTTATTTTGCTAAGTTATTATTAAAAAACTAGCGTTACTGACGTAACACAAAAAGAACCAAAGTTTTTGTTTTATGAGTTCTTATAAAAAAATACTGTTATTTCAAATGTTAGTTTTGAAAACTAAATAGTATGCTTTGTAGAAGAGTTTTGAAAATACAAAAGTTCTACCTAAAATTTTTCCTGAACATGTTTAGGTTTTTCAAGGTAAAAAAAAAAGAAAGTATGTTTGCTATTAGTGACATGAATGAGTGTGAATATAGAAACGAAAAGTCCTATTATAACTTAATGAAAAGTGCAAAGATCACTTCTAAATAGTGCAAAATTCGCTCTGAGATATGAGCCGAGCTCTGAGTTTTATTTATTCGATTTTTTCTAACGTTTACGATAGCGGAGAAATAATCTTGTTGAATAATTTTGATATTCATTGTATATTCAGAGGGAAAAATTTTGTTTGAAACAATAATCCTTGGAAAAAATTAAAGTTAAATTGAACATGATGATAACCTATTCTCGCTGATTTTACGCAGATAAGTAATTAGTTAAATATTGTTTTCTTTTTTAATCAGCGTGCAAAAGATTTTGCTGATCAAGCAGTTAGTAAATGTACGATCGCTGCTTTTACACCAATACTTCGTGCAAATCAAGATGAAATAGCTAAAGCAGCAGCAGCTGCACGTAAAGATAATGATTTTGTTTATCATGAACGATTGCCAGATCCTAAAACACTTGATACTATTTTGGCTCAACCAATAGCTAAACCATTACCAGTTACCTTTCCGATAACACCGGATTTTAAAGGTACTGTAAATATTTTAATACTATTCTTTATAATGAATTGTTTTTTTAGATCTATTTGCTTCACTTGTTCCAATAGCATTGAATAATGCATTAGCAGCATTTAGTTCGAAACGAGCAGAAATTATGAATATAGAAGTTAATCGTCTTCGAGAAGCAACGAATGTTCTTAATGCGTATGTTTATTTCAAATAGAATTTTCTATTATTCATTTTTCCTTGGCATTGTATTGCTTTTAGTGTTTTGGCTTCAATGAATTTACCAGCTGCTATTGAAGATAGTGGTGGTCGTCAAGTTCCACCATCAGTTAGTGAAAAATCTAATGAAATTAAACGACAAGGTGGTATCAATACATTAGATAAAATGATTAATGATTTACCAGAATCATTACAACGCAATAAAGAAATTCTTGATGAAGTAATGTTCAGTTATTTTCATAGAAAAATTTTATTTTAATGTTTCTTGTTTTGTATTTTATTTTTATTTTTATTTTTATTAGACAAATCGTATGTTAGATGATGAAGAACGAGGTGATATAGAATTACGTAATCAATTTAAAGAACGTTGGACTCGCACTGAATCATCAAAATTAACAGCTCCATTACGTGAAGAAGCTAAAAAATATATGGATATTATACAAAATGCAATTCATGCAGATAAAGTTGTTCAAGAAAAATATCGAATGAATCGAGATGCTATTGTTTTACTTAGTAAACAAACGGTAATAATTCTTAACGATGAGAAATTTAGATGTCAAATAGGCAAGAGAGAAAATTACTTTTGTTGTTCTATGATCAAATTTCTTTTGATTTCGAATGTTTATATTCATACATTATTTCTTGTGTGATTTAGGTTGATTCTTCTGTCAGAAATCTATTTTTACCACAGAACAACCGATCTGACTAAAAATTTCAGGAAATGTGTATTCGAGTCTTAAGCATTCACAGTTGTAATTTTGATCGAAAATATTGAGCTGTTCATGAACTATCATAACAGCAAGGTTTAAAGGGTACGTTTCTGTGTGGCAAGGATTTCTCTTCCCAATCTAATGACACACATGTCGAATTAATTTTAAAGTGCATTTAAGACATGCTACTATAACCTAATAGAGTTCGATATTGAAACATATTATTTCTTTTCTTCTATGAAATTTGCTTTCAAAAAATTAGTCGAAAATGAAAATTCTGATTCTGTCAAGTTGTAGAGCAAAACTTTCTCTTCAGTTTAAAATATTTCCAAGCTTTCTAGCATATTGAACGGCTCAGAATTCTCTGATACAAGAGCAAGAACAAATAGGAAAGTGTACTTTGAGAAAAATGCGCAACTCAGTTTGGCCTAGAAGTCCAAGCTACTTTCTTAATATAAAATGGTATTAGATACAGAGTTTCCCAATCGTCTCATAATCGAATTTTTTGACGAAAATCAAGATTTCTGCCAGAGCGGTGAGTTTGAAAAGATGCATTTGTTTTCTATTGCGTTAAAAGATTGCGAAAATTAGTTTTTAAGAGCATAAAATCTTGAGTAACATGTAGCAACCTCTCATTTCATTCAAGATTTTGTGCTTCCTAAGAGTCTACTCTTAAAAGCCAATTTTCACAAAATCTTCATCGTAGTTCATCAATGAAATATCTGTATGGAATATATTTGATAGAAAACTTCATTGGTTATTCAAACCACTATTTAGCCTTGGATTAAATGCTTGACATCATAGGAAAAACATGAAAAATACATTAGTCCTTTACTTCTTTTGCCAGTCCTGTATGTAGACAAGCAGTGAATGCCTGACTCTGCGGATTTATAGTTTTACATTTTCATTATGAATGCATTGAATCCTCTGTCATATTAATATAAAAGATCAAAAATTTTTTGAGAACAAAAAATTCGACAATGATGTTGCAAAATGAAACGTTAGATTGATTTATTTTAGCATGAAATAGCTGATGAACTTCCAGCAGCAACAGCTGCCGGTGCATTACGTGATTCGTTTGTTGTACGTGAATTACATCGTTTAATGGATAATGTTGCATCAATAAAAGCTGAACGTGAAGTAATTGAATCTGAATTAAAAAATACAGATTCTGATGGTGTTCGTGTCCGTTTAATTGCGGCATTTCAACAAGGAAATCATAATGATGAAAATAGTGTTGTTGTTCATGAAATAGAATCACTTTATACTCCATTACGGCAACAAGTTAGTGAAAGTTTATCAAAACAAGAACAATTAGTTGAAAATATTCGTCGTGCAAGTCAACAATTTCAAAATGAAAAACAAGGAAATGAATCATCAGAAATACGTGAAGAAATGTTAAAAAATTTAGCTCGAGCATATGATGCCTATCAAGAATTATTAAATAATTTAAAAGAAGGAACTAAAGTGAGCTGTAATTTTTTATATTATTATTTATAAAACTATTGTTTTTTTTTTCTTTCTTAGTTCTATAATGATTTGACACCATTATTACTCAAATTTCAAAATAAAGTATCAGATTTTGTATTTGCTCGTAAAACAGAAAAAGAAGATTTAATGAAAGATATTCAACGAGGAATTGTTGGTGGAAATCCTGCACCAACAACAACACAACAAAGTGGTATGAAATAGTTATTATTTATAGATTAAAATAAGTTTTATTTTATTGTTTTTAGCAAATAATCCATATGCAGCTAGTGCTGCTCCAACATATCCACCATCGCAACAACCATCAGCTCCATCAACTGGTGGTCCACCACCAACAACAACACCTGGTAGGAATGAAACTTTTTAAAAAAAGCAAAAATATTTATTATTATTATTGTAGATGGTTCTGCATTACCATATCCAAATCCATATATGCAACCATTTTTTCCAATGCCACCAGGTTATAATCCATATAATCCGTTTCTTAATATGAGTAAGTTAATTTAATTTAAATTTATGTTTGAGATTGATCTGTTTTATTTGCTCTAGCAACACCGGCTTATCCAATGGGTGGAGCTCCACAGTATCCACAACAAGGTAATTTTTTTTCAAATTTTTACGAAATAATTTCATTTTTTATTTCGGTAGGTTATGGTGTTGAAAAACCTCAATCAGGTGGTAAAAAGAAATGATAAAGTTTTTCTTCGTAAAAAAAAAAGTTTATGTTTTGCGTTGTTCAACTTTGTCTTGTATGATCAAATGAATGTGCTTCTTCTTCTTTTTCTTTGTGGTTATAGATATATATATATATATATGTATAGATATATATATATTCACTTATTTTACTTGAAATCTGCTTCTTCTTGTTACCTTATCTATTTCCGGTGTAATCGTCAATATCAAGAACACTCAGACAAAAAAATCTCTATATTCTGCTGCTTTGTGTACGTTTGTTTACTATTATGAATACTATTATTGATTTATCATTATTATTATTTTTTTGTCGTTTTCATTGTCTTTTTATTCTCAGCGTATTCTTTTTCTGGATAAATAAAAGCGTTCGCATCCAAAAAATAGTTTTTTCAAAAATAACATACATTCCCAAGTAAAAGGAATATCATCATCGTTTCTTTTTTTTAACCGATTAATTGACGGGAAGAATTTGCTAGATGGGATTTGTTTAAAAAAAGAAGTAAAATTTGAAAATAGAATATTATTAGATTGCAGAAAAATCATTCGCAGTTCGAAATGTCGATAAATAACAATATCAAGTCAGGCAGTTCATTCTTTATCGACCTAATGTATTTCATCTGAGTTTCATTTCCGATGTGATTTTAAGAAGAGATACAATTTATTAAAGTTTTAATGTTATAAAACGTTGCATTTGTGATGTGCTTGCAACTAAAATGTGTTTGTGACATGTTTATGGAATAATAGATTCTAGTAGATCTATAATATCAAAGAAAATCATGATGAAATCTCCATAACTTCAACTGCAATGCTAATCATGTAGATGGCATTAGACATATGTTTATCGTGCAAAAAAAATAACCATTGAATGCTTTCTTTGAAGGCCAAAAAGATATTAAAAGACAACATCAGTTAGTTATCTACATATTTGCTCTAATAAAAGAAAATTACATAGTGTTTTAGATTATTTATTTCGGTTTTAGTAACATATTTACAAATTTTATTTCTTTGTTTTCAGGAATGAAAAAGTTTTTTTATTTTTGGAAGGAGGAGGTCCGAGATTTGGTTCAACAATTGATGTCGAATAAAGCCTTATATCTGATCCGACAGATTTACTCATGGAAAGACCACGTCGAGATTCCACACGTTTCATAAAAGCATGTGGAGTTTCACCACCTGGAAGTACATTCATTGGTAAGGAATCTGGTTGATTGGCAAGTATGATTTTGGCATCGGCTGGTAAAAGTTGTACATTATTATTTTGTTCAAATAATTGTTTAATTTGATCTTCCGTGCATACTTCTTGCCAAATAGTTAGTCGTGCTTGATGAGGTGTACGAGGATAAATAACACGATGAATACCAGATTTAAAACGATTTCCAGTAAGAATGCTTGCTGCTGCACCAAGCCAAATAACACCAATGTTAGATTGATCAACTTGAGAATTATTTGGTCCATCAATCCATTTGTTTTTACGTTGATCTTTTAATTGAAGACCATCACATGTTGAAAGTATACTTAATGAAAAGAGACCAGGATCATAATGTGGTACACAATTAACTTCATCCGTATTGTAACCAACTTCGGGTATCTTTGTTGAACCAGTCTTTTTATTAAAATAATGGACAATATCAAGCATTGCAAAGGCAGATAATTCTACTTGATTGGATGATTTATCATCTGATACAGTTAGTTTTGTAATTATTGGTTTTAAGTGATAAGTTAAATCATTGATTAATCGACTAAGATGCTGTAACGTGGCTTCTATGCTCATCGGTAAAATAGACTGAGAATCGGTGATACCGTGTTGATCAGTTAATATTTTAATGCCTTCTTTATGATCAACACGTGAATAACCAAATGCATTTGATGATAAATAACGAGATTTTTCTGTTGGATCAAGTGCAAAAAAGTTAGAAAGAGATTGATTAATATGATTCAACTGTGTTGCGAAAGAACGATGATTTTGAGACAAACGTACAAAACACCAACCATTCGTTTCGAATGCTTGTTGTAATCTTAAAATTTCTAATGGATCATCGAGGAATAATTTCTCAAGATCGAGCAGTGGATGATTATTGAATTCAGCCGACATAAGTATAAGAACGTTATAACAAAACTGTAAAATGCTTATTAACTACAACTTCTTTCTATGACATTTATACGACATGTTATTGCTCAATCTTAATGACATTAAATGACTCGTCTCTGACCTCACAAAAGAGTTGGCAATGATTCAATATGAGTCAACTGAAAATATACAGTAAATATGATATGCGTAATGACAGGTTTCTTTGTTACCATAACACTCTTGCTAGTCTCACTAATACTGTGCTTTGTTCTTTTGTGACATATCTTATATTTTGTTGATTTTTCATATTTCTCCTGTTGACACATTGTCTAGATAACTTTCTCTAGTTTTTCATCATCTATCATACCGGACATGCCAAAATTCTCGTAATATTTTTTATTTCTCATGTATTTTGACCCGGATAAATGATAAAATCTTGAATTTTTCAAAAAGATGTGCCGTGCAAGACTCTACAAAAACGTTAATAAAAAATCTCTGTTAATTTATGTCGATAATCTTTTCTATACTCAAAATGAAAAACTTACATGATAGTGCTTCTCATTGTACTGACCATAACAACAGAAGAATATTTGGAAGTCCTTTTTATTTTGCAATATGGATTTGTTTATACAGTTTGTGTACAGGTTTAGACAACACATCTTTCACCAAAACATAATCAAGACTTTAACATTTACGTATGCCAAAATATATGCAACATAGAAGATGCTGCATACATTTTGGCACATCTATTATATCCATGTCAATAATTTTCATTCATTCGTTGCAAATAAAAAACAATAAATAACGCAAAATCATTGTCATTATAGTAACATCGTCTAAGAAATAACAGAATTCTATAGGATGATTCACTCATTTTCATTTTATTATTACAGAAGAAAAAACGTTATAATTTCAAATGATGTTCTATGTGAAAGTCTCCAGGTTTAAGGATGAGAAACAATCGTTTCTTCCCAGTAGGCTAAAGCTTTATCAATATAAGTTCTCTACATCTTTATAGATTGGTACAAATATTTTCTTGTTAGTTCGTCAAAAGTTTCAATTTTCTGTTTGTTGAATTCTTGTTTCAAATATTCTCCCATTCAGTAACTCATAGGAGCTGCATCTTGTGACATGGATATTCATTCTTCGAGTTGAACATAATTCATTTTTGACTTATTCAAAAAAAAGCGATAAATCTAATTCGAAATATAACTGGAAGCATTGTTTTGATGAAAAAATTCATTTCTATTGTTTCGAAACAAACGAAGAACATTCTGTGATAAAAATAGTTTCAAAATGTTTTCAATGTAATAATCTGAATCAATTGTGACATCAGACTAAACCAAACGAAGAGATGTCTCGCGATAAAATAAATCTTGTTGAATTATCATCTTTTCATTGTCTGATTTGGTTCTTTTCTATGTAACAAACTTTCTTCTTCCCTTCAGTGTAGTCGAAATAGTGCAAGAAAATATTTGAGAATCGAACGTTGACAACGAGAATTTTAGACATCAATTATTTGAAGTACTTTTAAGACATAGGTTGTTTTCGAGAAAATTTAATTTTTTTCAATATAATTACGTTGACGGTCGATCTTTCGTTTACTATTAGACACAGTTTTTTAGATATACTGATTCCATCGTGTTTCAAAATTTTAGCTATTTGTGACTGGGAGTATTTCCAGTGCAATAAAACCAACATACATTTCTCGTGAACATTAGTGTTCTTTTCCGATGCATCGCTTTGAACAGAAAACAAGCAAACAAAGAGATAGGCAACGAACACCCTTACCACATAACATGATCATGCAATGTTTTCCCTTTTTCTGTCAAGCGAATATGACATTCAAAACGTAGTTAAGATAGGTGAATTATGTTATACAAATCATATCAAACGTTATTATGAAATAAACTGAAATCAATCCATTTCTAGATAGTTATTTTGTACGAATTTAGTCTACGATTGTATTTTAATAAGAACAATGTAAGTAGATATTGCCTTCAATATAATTATTGTCTAGTATGATGTAATTGGATTTTCTATCTTACGTTGACGTTTACTAAAAATGATTTTTCGATCAAAAAACAAAAACTAATAGGACAGATTATCTTTACATTGTCACAATCAAAGCATCTAATAATATTAGAAGAGTAGACAACTGTCAGACTTGTTTTAGATTAATAAAAGAATAAAAGCGTATGTTAACTATTCTTACATAGCACGAAGTAAAAACATTTATTACCGACATTGTGCGACATCGTATTCTAGTAAGCCTCGACTTCAAAAGAAAGGTTAATAACAAAAAAATGAATTGGTCTATCAAAGAAATATAAATGAAGCGTAAAGCCATACCTCGATTACTTAATATTCGAAAATCTACTTGTTTCTTGTTTTTCATTGTACTAGTTTTATATTAAGATTGTCATTATCTATCAGCAATGGCAGATGAATTAGCTAATCGTATTACAAATGAATTGAAAGATCGTCTACCTGATATAACTAATAAAAGTGTTCTGGCTATAATCAATGGAGTAGAACAGTAATTATATTATATCTATTTATTTTTTTGTTCGCTATTTTCTTTATTTAGTCCAACATTTTATACAAAACTATTATCAACTATTGAACAATTAATTCTATTCACAGAATCATCTGATATTTATAAACAATTAGATGAACAATTAGAAAATTTTCAAAAAAAGCCAATATTAAATTGTGCTAAATTTAATAATGCTGAATTACAAAATAATTTGTAAGACGATTTTAAAAATAAATTTAAGTGAATTTTTTTTTCCTTAGATTTGATGTTATTCTTCTTATTAAGTCATTTAACCGATTAAGTGTCGATGAAAAACAAAAAATGTTAAAGAATTTTTTAAAAACACTTAAAGTTAATGGTCAAGTTTTTGTTTATGAAAGTGAATGGTCAAAAGATAAAGGTACATAGATAGAAACAATTTTATTCTTCTTAATTAAAATTTTATTATTTCATTTTGTTAAGAAAATCATTTAAGTAATCCAGTCGATCTTATTCATTATTTTAATTCTGCTATAATAACTGAGAATGAAAAATTTGGTTTTGAATTTGTTTCTGCACGACCATTACGTACTTATGTTGAAGTAGATATAAATCAATCTATTATTATTCTTTTAATGGAATTAACATATTTTCTAGAGCAAACAAGAATCATTTCATGTATGTTATGTTTTCAAAAAAACTACTAAACAAGACAATCATTCAACATTACAAGATTTTCTTGATCAACAACAATATTCTACACGCGGTGTTTTATCTTATGAAAGAATTTTTGGAGCTGGTTTTATATCAACTGGTGGTCTAGATACAACAAAGGTTTGTTTATTGTTGAATAAAAAATAAGAATGAAAATTATCAAATGGAATAGATATTAGAGATGATTAAAGATCATCATGATATGTAATACACGAAGAGATAAAAAGCTTTCTCAGGAATTGATCATAATTTATAGAAAAATAAAATCATTGATATTCTCTTTGGTAATCTCTATCAATATTTGTTTCACGATCAAATGATGATGGATTATACCGATATAGTTCGAAGAATATCCACAATTGTAATTCTCATAGGAACGAAATAAATAATCGATAATATCAAATCATGAACAATTTAATATTCGTTCTTTAGTTAGAGAAACATTTGTATTTTTTTAGGAATTTGTTGAATCACTTAATCTTAAAAGTGATCAAGTTGTTTTGGATGTTGGTTGTGGTATTGGTGGAGGTGATATTTATATAGCTAAGGTACAGGTTTACAAATTGATTAAAAACTTATTGTTTTGTTTTTCAAAAAGACATATGGATGTTCAGTAATTGGTGTTGATTTATCTACTAATATGGTTAGTATTGCCTATGAACGATTAATGGATATGTCAGCTAATAAACTTAAGGTAAAATTTGTTATTTGTTTGTATTATTAAAATATTTAACATATATTACTTTAGGTATCATTTGAAATTGGTGATGTACTACATCATGAATTTAAAGCAAATTCATTTGACGCTGTCTATAGTCGTGATACAATTTTACATATTACTGATAAGATGAGTCTATTTTCTCGTCTTTATGTAAGGTTAATTTTATAGAAAAATATTTTTCTTACTTTTTTTTTTATTGAATAGAGTTGGCTTAAACCGGGTGGTCAATTATTTATCTCTGATTATTCGTGTGCACCAAGACATGAATGGTCAAAAGAATTTGAAGAATATGTCAATCAAAGACGATATGCGCTTTTAACTGTATCAGAATATGGCAAAGTAAAAATAAATAAATATATAATCTATTTGTTATTATTTTATTGATATTAGCTCTTGGAAAGTGTTGGCTTTAAAAATGTTGATGCTCAAGATGCCACAGAAAAATTTGTTGAATGTCTTAAAATGGAACTTGCACGAATTGAATCAACTAAAGATGATTTTATTCGAGTATGTCAATTATATTTTTTTCTGTTGTTTTATTCACCAATTGAAATATTTAATTTGATTTTTAAAGGAATTTTCAAGTGATGATTACGATCATTTAATTGAAGGTTGGCATAAAAAACTTGAACGATGTGCTAAAGGTGATCAACGATGGGGTATCTTTCGAGCAAGAAAATAAAAAAAAAGCATTGAACGAGCAATAATCAAATGATGGGATACCAGCATAGTAAAATTTGTAGGGAAAAACGTATTATTTTTTAAAATTAATTGCTCGTAAAAAAAAATAAAATGAAATACAAAATTAGCATTAATATTTCTGGATTGCCTGACTATGAATGTATCAGATTTTCAGTACAATATGACTACATAAAGCTTGAAGGACATCAGAATGTAATCTTTTCTTTGTCTTCGATTTGCATTCTTTATGGTTTTTTTCAAACATTTTCGTAACGGAAAAATGTGACATATGGGTATTATCTTCTTATCGATAAGTACGTGTTAAGCACAATGACAATGAAGAAAATACGTGAGATAATGCTACTCTATTATCAATGAACTTTGATATATGACTAGGTAAATGAAGCCTAGAAAACGGGTCAATAGGGTGCAATATTCTATTTGAATATATAATCATCATTTAGAGAGATAAAATACTTCGATCAATTTTATCGAAGGTAAGCTAATCTTAACAAATATTTAAAGAAAAGAAATAAACTCAATATATTTGTGCAATGTGATCTCAAAAAGTTAATGTTATGTTTCTATCTGAGAATGTAATTGTTAAAGAATAATCGACATGATATATAGAATAAGAATAATGTTTTCCAATTGTTTTGTACAATGTATCAGTAAGATTTTAAAATGTATCTGTATGTGAACGAGCGATAGTTGATTTAGAAATCTGTCTTTCAAATTGAATGTATTGCACCAATAAAAAATATTATATAATATAAATCTCGAAATTATTAGTATCTGGTTTTCTCTATAAGAAGTAATCTCTTTTTAACTCTTGTACTTGGTAAACATAACAATTGTTTGTCATTACTTCAGACAATATAAGATATGATTTGTAATGATCATACTGACTGACATAGAAAAGAAATATATTACAAACAAATTGAATCTTTCCAAATGATTTAGCAATATTTGATAGCCTCTCATAAATGTAAAATAGTCTTCGTTTTTGAATAACATTAATTAAAATTCACAAATGGTTCAATGAACAATGAACATCATTTACGTTTATGTTAATTTTTTTCAAAAAAAAAAAAAAATTAAATCGAACTAAACTTTAATCAATATTCACAAGTTAGACATTTATTCTGAAAAGATTTTCTATTATTTGAAAAGAAGTCAAATCATTCTTTTGTAAAAGTTCAATTGAGAACATATTATTTATACAAATAATAAAACGAAAGTATATGTTACGTATAAATTGATGACATATATTGCTTTGTTCAATATGTGTATCGATCAAAAAGAAAAAGAAGAGAAAAAAAAAGTCAAGTGTACTTCTTTCATTTTTTATTGACTTGAACAACGGTCAGTATTTTTATTTCATTCAGTGTATTCTTATTCTTATGTTATTCAATAAATTCTATTAACAACATGCAATATTCATATTAACTATGTTTTTCATTCTTATAACATACATTTTTTATCTTATCCGATTTTCCTTCGCTGATCAATGTCCATCATTTAAGTATTGTACATGTTCATCAGATAAAACAATAATAGAATGTACAAATCGTCAATTAACTAATGAACTATTATTAAATCTTACTAATCAATTACCTAAATCAACAATTCTTTTAAATCTTTCATCAAATTCCTTAACATCAATTAAATCTTTATCAAATTTAAATTCACTTCAAGTACTAGATTTATCATTTAATAAAATTCAATATTTACCATCAAATATCTTTGCTATATTTCCTCAATTAATTTCATTAAATCTTCAAAATAATTCATTGAAAACAATTCCAAAAAGTTTTACAAACATTTCAAATATAAATCTTAATCTAGTAGATAATCGATTTCATTGTACATGCCAATTTAAATTATTTAAAAAAACTAATTTTTCTAAAAGTATTATTTGTCAAAATAATAAAGAATTTAATGAAAATGATTTTTGTTATATAAAAAATTTTCTTCAAATTAGTCCTCAACAATCACAAATCGTCTATGAAAATGAACAATTTATATTAAATTGTTCATCAGATTTACAACGTTATTGGACATTAAACAAAAAATTTTATCCATCGACTATTACAAAACTGTCATATTCAACAATAATCATTCATCATTTACAAACGAATCATTCAGGATTATGGACATGTTATAGTTTAAATTTGAATCATTCAATATGGCTAACTGTGTTAAAAAGTTCATCAAATTCTTTTTGTCAATCAATACAAATGAATACATCAAAAGGTTATTTTTATTGGCCACGGACATTAAGTAATAAAAAAATTGCTATATATTGTCCTTATGGTTCAGCAGCATGGTTAAGACATTCAAATGAATATGCTCGAGCATGGTATACTTGTTCATCTAAAGGACAATGGATTAATTTTGATATAACACAATGTGCATTTCAAACAAATATATCACGAATATTTGATGATTTATCATTAAATGAAACAAATTTATTATCAAGTTTAGTTAAATATCTATCAGAAATAGATCAAAATTATTTACAATTAAATGATATTATTTTATTAATTGATTTAATTGATGAACAAAAAGATAAATATCAAAATCAAGATAAAATTATTTTAATTTATCATTTAACAGATTTTATTTTACAAATTAAAATGGATTTTATTTTTTCAAATGAATATCAAATTGCAATAAAAAAGTTAGAAAATAGTTTTTTTTTTTGTAATTTTTTCTTTCAATAACTTATTTTTATTATTTAGATTAAGATTAATAATCGAACATTTATTAGATTTGACTAATCAATCTTGGTTATATATCGGAAAAGAATTAGCGGCTATGACAGTACAATCATCATTATCATCAACATTATGTTTTGTACCTAATCGATCATTGCTAACAATTATTTGTGGCATCGATAATCAATTCCATAAGGTTTGATAAAACATGTGAATTTGCTTATAGATCATTAGGTAGTCGGAACATTGTTAGTACACTCTCTGTATTTCCATCAATTTGAGTCTAAATGAGTCGCTCATATTCGAATATGTTCTGACTATAGCGACGATATGTAAATATATTCTAACAACATTAGCTTCAGTTCTCATATATATTCTATATAAATATTATTTCGTAATTATTGACAAAAACCCACTGTATTTTCGCCAATATACCGTCGAGCATGCCTCATTAGGGACGAGATTATTTGAGAAATTCTGGAATCCTAAATCACTTTCTTTTTCAGTCTCCATTAGTAACAATTCAATTTTTATCTCATTTGAATGAATCAAGTCAATATTCATTATTTCGTATTATTATTTATCGTCAATCGACATTATTCACGTCGAATGTGATAGCAAATAATAATAATCCAGTTATTCATATACGACCAGGTAAAGATATTAGAATATTCTGTTCGATTAAGACCATAACATATGTAGAGATGTATGATACGAAGATGTTTTTTTGGTTCCGATTCCTATCCAGAGAAAATTATTCCATAATTTACTAGTATAATATCCAAAAAAAAATAAATTCTTAAATATTCTGTTTTTGATTTATGTAGTTTACTTCGTTAGAAATGTTTATTTTTCATTCACATCATTTTAAGAATAAAATGATTATTCTCTTTGATTAATTTAATCCGTTAGTCAATTTCCATACTAAAGGAGAAACATTTCTAGATGATAAAAAACTTTTGAGTTTAAAAACTATTCACAATTAGAGAAAATATTGATTAGAAAGAAAACCATGAGAATATGGCGTAAGCTAGAATTCAACTGAGACACTAACTTTTTACTATGATGTTCCTCCAGCAATCTTCTTCCTTGATAAAGTCAAACTTTTGAATTTTGACCTAAAACTGTTCGTATCAAAGCTTCAATTTGATTAAATTGCTTATAAATATTCAAAATTTTCGGATCAATTACCTCCTTTGTAATATCGGCATATTAGCATAAAAAGACGCTTAAAACAAGTATTTTATTATAGATCAATACTGAGGAAAAGTCATGTCTTTGAGATAATTTGTTCAAAACTTCTGGAATTTGATACTCAAACTAATCTAATTGAGACTATGATGTGAATTCATAGGTATCCACAGTTCGAGTTTCATTAAAAATCACTTTAAAATAACTGAGATATTACCTTCTAATTAATTATGTATATTGAAAAGCAAATGCTAACTTCTAGTAACATGGGTGCTGTCCTCGATAGATGTGATCAATTCTTTGGAATATTCTAATAGAAATTTTTCATGATACGACAACTCTCTTCTGAAATTTTTAAAACTGCAGAACTGAATAAATTCGAGCTAATAATATGACATGAGTTCAATATCTCCGAGCGTGCTAATTATTTAGATCTTGCCTATATATCATAAGCTTTAGTGATACTAATATAGATATATGAAACTGCTTTTAGTGCTAGGAAACAGCAGTAAAATAGTTTATGGAATAGCAAAAGAACAAAAAACAAAACTTTTTTTAGTACATTTTTTCAGCTAAATATGTTGTTTAAAAGGTAAAGAATATGTATGAACAGTAGTAACTTCAATACATGTGAACCGATGGATTAGTATCACTTCATGGAGGGTGACTACTTTTGTCTAGGATTGTATTTGAATTCTAAAACTGTTTATCATCGGAGAAGGCTTTTTTCCTATGTATTCATTTTCTTTTATTTGATCAATATGTAGTGTTAAACAATAATTTATCTACGATTAAATTAACATTTTATGGTCAATCAGATCAAGCATCAATTGGGATTTGGTATTCAAATCAATCATCATGGCAAATAAACTCATCTGTTTGTAAAATAAATGAACATGTATGTATATATACTTAATTTATGATTTTTAATATAGAAAAATCAATTTTTATTTTGAGAATTCTAATTTTATTTCAACTAATTGTATTTTAATCAATAATGAGTCTTTATCAATAACATATCTTAATCAAAAAGCTTTGTTTTTCTATACAAATTATTCACAATTACCTATTTATACTTCGTCATTGATTGCATCAATTTGTTTCTTTATTTCTATTCTTGTCTATATTTGTTTTTATAAGTAAATATATAAAATAATTTTCTTTTGTGAAAAAAAAAATATTCAATTTAATTTTTTACTAGACTTTATCAAATACCAAGATGTTTTTTTCATTGTTTAATTAATTATTGGCTTAGTCTATGTATTTTATTACTATTATTTGCATTTGGAATACAACGAAATCAATATAGATATTTATGTCAATTTATTGCTATTAGCCTTCATTATCTTTGTTTAACAACTGTACTTTGGTTAACATTATTAACTTAGTAAGAATAATTTTATTATTGATTGATATAAAAAAAAAAGTTTTCTCTTCAGTTCGATTTGGAGAAAACTATCTGTTATATCAACAAATGAAGATTGTCCTCGAAAACTTTCAATAATAATTAATGATGATTTAACAAAATCAGAATTGAAACCTAAACCTGTTATTCAATTCTATTTTTTAGCTTATGGAATAGCATTAATCATTTGTTGTATTAATGTTGCTATATCACATGAGCAATATATGGTAAACAAAATGTAAGTAATTATGTGAATATTTCAATGAAAATGAACTGAATATATCGAAATATAACATCGAATGTCAATGCAAGGAGACTAGACACCTGTGTGATCTGAGCCTTTATAGACTACCTCACAAGGGCAAAACTCATTCCTGTATTTATTTCCAATCAAAAACCTATGTAAATTCAGATTGGAAAGGTCCTCATATTTTTCTTCTGATCACTTGATCAAACTTCAATGTTTTGACTTAACAGAAAGTATCAGAAAAGTGTCCGCTTGATTGTGCGCGTGTTACTTGATTTCGATTTCGTGAAATGAAAAATAGTGAAACTGTCATTTCATGTAATATAATTTCGTTATATATTTTCTAAGGATTAGAAATTTTCTTTCGTTTTAAAGATTTTTGTTTTCATTTAGATGTTTCTTCAATGATTTTTATTCGATTCTAATATTAATTATATCAATGTTCATATGTATTATTTTTTCACTTTTTTTTCTTTTATCTACTCGTAATCATATAAAGCGTTTAATAAACGAAACAAAATATTTAGATGAATTATCAGATGTATCGGACATTAAGTCACAAAATATTTTATTATTAAAATTAAATGAAATTTTACCAATTTTAATTCCATTTAATCAAACTAATGAACAAATTTCATTAAATATAAATTATCAAAATGAATCAATAAATCAATTATTCTCATTATTATTTCAATTAATTCTTCTTATATTTCTATTTCTATCATGTTTAACTATTTATCTACAACCACTAAATTTATTTAAACTACGCTTTGAACATATTATTTATAGTCATTTATATGGTTTTTTTGTTTTAGTTCTTTCATTTTATATAATTTCATTTTATGTTTTATTTCGTTCTGATTTAATAAGACATTATGGTCTTAGTAGAAAAAGAATTGATCATTTATCTAAACAATCATGTAGTGAACCAGCATTATCATTAATGAATTCAAAACAAAATTATCAATCTGATATTCCTTCATTTACAGAACGAATTTCTTTATTTCCATCATCGTATTTCTATGATGTTTCAAATATACATATTCCTGAATTATTAGAAAATACTGAAAGACCATCAATAAACGATAATCATATGGATAATTCAAAACTTCACACAGAGATTACATCGGATTATTGTGTTTGTCATTGTCACAGACTGAAACCTTATGAAATAAGTTCATCACAAAATACTGTACATGATACATTACCATCATCATCATTATTAGATATAATTGTGCAAGAGTAAGTATGAGCATTTGTTGCTAATGAGAAAGGATAAAACTGATTCATAATCTCTTTTTCATTGTTAGTGAAAGAAAAATTTTAGATGATTATATTTTAAATATTTTGTTATATATAGCTTGAAACATAAAAGAAACATTGAACAAAAGTTAAGATTTAGAGACATTAAGATTAATTTTGAAACGAAAATGATTTTTAGCTATCGCTGAGTCTATTACAAATTGAAAAAGAATTCACTGATTTCAACAAGATTTTAAGCTTTATTTGAAGTCTAGATTTGTAAATATCTGTATCAAATAACATAGATTAATAGGTCATGTCCAAGATTAGAGGAATGCAATTGTGTAAGATTTTCTTTGTTTGTTATATTTATCTGAGTATTGTTCATGTTACTTGGTTATCTATCTCTCAATGATTATGAATTTTATCTGCGCATTCAGGACTCTATTCTGAAACAATAGTCTAATGTTAATACATATTCGAAAAGTTGTTCTTACTGTTTTCAAGTATCCACTTTGAAGTAAAATGCTCGAAAATCGGTCCAAGGTTTATAAATTTAGCAAAGATGAATATTTACTTCAAATTCTGAAAAAAAAGGTGTCGAATTCATTTGTTTAGAACTACTGATACACACCCATTGCAACATAATTCATTCAATGAACAAACATTACAAAGATCAATTAGTGGTTTACTAGAATTTCATGCAAGACAAACTGAAAATACTCATGTAAAAATTGATTATGATAAAAAGAATTATAAAATTTTCGTTTTCTATACATTTTAGTTGCACTCATCTTCTAATACGTTATCACGATTACGGACATATCCAGCTCAAGCAATTATTCGTCTTTTACCCATTATTCGTCTCTCTTCACGAAATATAAAGAAAAACCTTTCAAAGTCTACAAATATTATTCAATTAAATGATCATAGAAATCCATCGATCAAACTGAAAAATATTAGTAAGAATACTCGAAATTCGTATTCTCTAAAGTCATCATCATCCACTGAAAACGATGATTCTATATATGTTTCTTTGAATAAAACTGATCATTTAATTCAACAAAAATCATCATCATATGAAAAATTATCAATTTGGAAAAAATCTATTAATGGCCATAAACAACTTGTATACATTGATCAAGATGATGAACATAGTGTTTCACTTATATCATCTTATTATGATTCAAAAACATCATCAAGTACTATATCAAACAAAAAAGAGTATAAACAAACATTGTCGTCTTCATCAAATATTTCAGACCATTCCTATTATGATGCTATTCATACAAATAAAATAAAATTGCGTGAAAGCAGTGTATAAATAATCTTTTGTTTTTCCTTTGATACTTCGTACTATTATCAACGATTGTAATCAATGTTTTCTAACAATTAGTTTTCGTTTAGATAACACATTCAGTTTGTAATATTATCTCCATGATATATATGTTTTTTTTTAACAATAAAAGTTTGCCGTTATGTCAATGAAATAAACTGATCTATTATAGGCTTTTATTATCATTTTTTTAATCATTTTTTATCAATATTTAATGTTCTACGAAAAGGAAGATGATTTTAAATTCTTCAATTCAACTGATCTTTTTAATGAATCTTTTATTTTATTTGTCAAGGAATATTTGCAACAATATCAATCAATTTTTCGATTGAATCTCATTTTGAATTTCAACAAACATTGATACTAATTAAGATCTCTGAAGATATGCCAGTGAAGTCCTAGTTGTTTCTTTTTTGAATAATAATGAAATTTTTTCAGAAAATATCCTATTACAAGGCTGAAATTTTTCGATCAACTTCACCTTTAGAAAGCTCTGCTTGTATCATTCATATATCTGAATATTATGTAAAAAAAAACGAGAATTGAAGCTCTGAAAAACTCGTAACATTGAATAGCGAAGCTAATTGAATGATTTTATTGGAAAAACTACTGGAAAATGAAAAACACATTATATGGGATTGAGTTTTAATTACCAAGCACAATATGATGCGAAAATAATAGAATGAACAAAGCATGGGTGTGTCAGTGTCGTTGTGGCTAGAGTGTGAAGAAGAATCATTCACCAGCAGAGCCATGTCACATATCTACACGAGCACCTACACTATCAGCATAATCCCACACCTACACCTTTCGAGAAGTAATTTTTATATATCAACCAATATGAGAAAAAAATTTACGAAGAAATCATTTTTCAATTACTGTTAAATGCAGCCGTCGTGATCCTTTGCACCACTCCTGGCTTGCTTTTGTATGCATTCGGTGCAAATCTCTGATGTAAATCTATGTCCATTTCACTAACTGATTGAGAAATAGTACATAGAAACTTTCTCTTTGTAAAATTAGTCAGTATCAGCAATAAATTAATGAATTTGTATTGCATAAATTAAAGTTTAAAGAAACACTGTTTTCAACTGTATTAACGTAATTTATGTTGCTGTTATCATATCAGAAAATTCTGATGAAATAATTCTTGTTAGTATACTTACTATTAGAATATTAATATTGTCATTTCTTTTCATGTATACATCGCAAAACATTAATTTTGAACATGAAGAAAACCATTGAAGTTTTACTTTTATGAAATACAAAAACAACAAACTTGTTATAGCTGAGAAGTGTTCAGAATCTTGAAGATTTATCAAATATTGTAAATTGCTTGGTTCTTAATTATATTTTTTTTTGTTACTTTTAAGGTGTCGTTTTCTGTGTATGTTGATCTCTCTTGCAAAAAAAAATGAAAGACTTCCATGTATGTGTAGCAACAATTTTTACTGCCTATGGTCCAACTAGTAATATATATCAGACATGTCCATGTCGATAATATCAGCAGCGCAGTAGCGATATTTCTTTTTAAAATCACCACACATGAAAGATGTCTCAAAAAATGCTACTGCGGCACTGGCAGGGTCTTGTTTTTTTTTAGATATTGTAAAACTGTATGAATTTGTGTTCAATTTGAAAATCTACAAATCAAACAGTCTAAATCGTGGTAAATTTCATGGATTCAATCTAATTGGGCTAATTTATTACAGTGACTGAAGCGATTTCCCAAGAATTTTTTGAAACTCATTCAGGTAGCAGCAGATTTACAGCCGAGATGAACATACATAATATTGATGATAGATTGCTAATACATCGATAGACAGCTCTTGATGTTGTAGCTCTCTATGAAGTTGGCGATATTTGAATATTTGATTCAAGTTACTTATCTTTTTTTTATAATATTAATTGTCTTATTTTGTTTTCTCTTTTTTTTTTTTTTATTAACATTATTTTTGAAATAATAAAAACATCTTAAGAATAATATTTACTGATTTTTATCTTTTCTTTTGCAGTAAATTCAAGATGGAAAAGATAATGTAGACAATAAATTATATGTTTTCACTGATAAACTATTAATTTAAAAACCGATGAATATCCTTTCTCTTCTCATCTTCGTGTAAATCATAAGCATTGCTCTATGATGACATATAGAGTTGCAAACACTCATCATCAAAACCTATTAGTATATTTTTATGACAAGAAAATTGATTTGATACATCTTATGAATAAACTATTTACTGTGCAAAGATGTAATTTTTTCCAAAAGCTATTACAAACTGGAAAACGTACATTCTATATTATCTTGTTCATTTTTCACTAGTTTTTAATTATGCCATTAATTTAAGTGAATCATTCATGTAAAGTATTCAAAAAAAAATAGATAGTTATATATCAAAAGTATCAATTTAGTTTTTCATTTCCATACGAAGTTTGATTTGTCTGAAAGAATTTTATTAGAAATAAAATTCTATAGAAGGACTATTTGTATGCTAACAAAACATTTTTATATTTGCATGAAGGTTGACTCAAATGAGAATGATTCAACAAACTAGTGAGATAAAAAATTTAATAATAGAATAATCAGAAGAAGAACAACAATGACTCACATTGTTAGAGAGAAGGAAAATCATTAAAATGTTATACTAGTTCACTTGCACTGAATACTTACTGATTCATGCACTCATCATACGGCTGCACTCGTAACACTTTCAAATATATATCAATTCAAAAGAAAATCAAAAATAACTTTAAACTTTTATTCGATTAACAAAAAAAAAAAATCTTCATGGCATAAGTCATTCAATTGAGTACACTGTAAGTATAACAGAACGATTTGATGATATTCAACATCCAGTACACTGAGATTTTACATCCATCTACAAATCATATTCGTGTTAATGATCTTATTAAAATCTTGTATTATACGTTAACCAGTTATGTTTTGTCTCATTTTGAAATCAACATAAAAGTATATAGATTTTACAGATTTATTAACAATGTTTCCGTCTAAAATATTCTTTTTATCTTAGTGAAAAAATTCTTGAAATAATAATTATTTAGTTAAGATAAATGGTTTCTTAATACGTCTTTTTTTCTTTCATTTGAATTTGTGGACACGATCCATTTATCTCTGTCATTCTTTTTTGATAATAACATGAAGACAAATTTTTATCTGCCTTCTGTTATTGTTTTCTTTTCTCTTTTTTTTTTATTCAAAATAATGAGTTAACTAGAAGAATGCAATCATATTCTATTAGAATGCGAACCGATAAACAACTTATCATTCCTTATATATCCTATATTACGTTGGGTATTGTGGCACTTATTATTGTTTTAATGGTTTTATTCAAAATTGCTGCAAGAGATAATAGATTTTTATCAAATTCGGAATTGTATATTTATTCTCAACCTGATCTGAATCAACGTAAACATAATGCAAATAAAAAACAACGTAAAAATACTTTTCTGGCATCGAAAACGACTAGACAGACAAACACTAATCCATCATAGAATTAAATAAATTTTTCATCACATTATTCTTTTATTTAATTATTCAAGTATATAATATACTATTAACAGTCACAATGCATCTTATATTCTATTTTATTTAAAATTTAATGTTAAACTCTATATTTCTGAAGACTTTTTTTTAAAATAAATTGTCAAATCAAAGAATCTCTCGTTCTGAGAAATTTCCTTTAGTTCTTCTTTGTTAGTTTTTTATTTCTTATTGAATGAACTAGTACTATTTGTGTTTCGTTTCCTATGATTGATTTCTGCAGTAATTTGAAAATTCTGGTTAAACAAAACTTTATTCAATTGTGTACATTAAGACTCGTATCTAACTGTCAAATACCATTTGTCATTTTCTTTTGGTTTATGAGTAAGTATTAATAAGAAAAAGATGAATCTAAAAATAGTTTGAATGTTTAACTTTTATTCTTTACTATAACAATTTTGAAATGTTTTTCCTTGAAATATTCTATTCTATGAATCTTTAAATATTATTACTTTACATAAAACGATGTTCAACAAAGAAGAATATTTATTTGTAAGAAAACCCCATTTTATTATATAACTCAAAATTCAATATATTTTACGCATTGCATACAAAATTTTTACGTTCAACTTCGAAATGATTGAACAATGTGAATTTTACACAACTTCTCAATTAATTTTCATCATATCCTATCGACATCTATTTTATTATTAAAAATTCATGAACGATTAAAGTATTTTATTGAAACGTCTAATAAGCATTTCAAAGACTAAAATTATTTTCAAAAGAATTCATTCTCAATGTTTTTAATTATATATAAATTGGTTATGAACCAAACGATGAACGATAACCTCCGCAATGTTGTTTATCAATTTAGGGCCGACAAGCAGTGACGTCGTGATTTGCCGGTGCCCCCTATCCCTCTATTGATTCAGTGGCTCCACTTCCTTAGCTATTTGATTTTATTCGAAATCCATAATAAACAAGAAAAAAACAAAAATTATAATAATGACAAGTGAAATACGTCGTTCAACACGATCTCGATCAAGTTTAAATGTTAAATTTGTTGATGATCCTGATTATGATGAACATACATTTGAAGACGATCAGGGCGACGACGACAACATTGACGAACTGCCGGTGGCGCGTGTTAAACAAGAGCATCAGCGACACACTAGTCAAAATAATAATACCAATAGTAGCATTATAAAAAGACGTCGTGGACGACCAGCTAAACGTGAATTAATCCATGATCATGATGAAGATTGGCATGTTGAAAACGAAGAAGATTTTTCAACAGTTACATTAAGTCCTCAAGTTAATTCATCTGTTTATGAATTTAGGTAAAGAATTTTTTTTGTTTCTATTTTTATTGTATATAATTTATACTGATCTCTTCGTTCTTATGATTGTCTAGTGAAAATTCAAATCGAAAAAGTTTTAGTTCAATAGGAAATAATATTTCACGTGATTCAACTAAAAATTC